GTACCATTAAAAAGGCTAAGACTCGAATGCAATAACAAACTAGTTTTCCTATTATTTCATAAACTTTATCACACCATTACATAACATTCAGTGTTTTTGTATAGGTTTATTATTATTGAATTATATCTAATAGATATTACCAAGATATCAAAGACTTCCTATAAAGATTCTTAAACTATTAAAATAAAAAAGTTTACAATTCAAAATAAGAAATAATTTTAATTTTATATGAATTTATTAATATTCCAAGAACATACATGCAAGACAATAGATGATGATGTCATTTGTATTTTAATCTTATTTGCGCAAAATGAATTTGAATACACGTAGATTTTATCAGTAAAATTCCAAAATTCCAAATGCAGAAAACATATTTTCGATATTAGGAATTTTATGAATCTCGAGGTAAATTCCAGGTATGCAAAATTTAGCAGAGAGAAGCGATTTTATGAAAGAACATGTTCTGAATACGCACCTATAATGCAATGAATATAATGAAATTAGAAGTCTTCTGGTTCTGGTGGATAATAAAAATGTATATATATATTTTAAACGTATGCATGTATATAAGTGCGATAGTTGAGTAAAATTTATGCGGAGATTAAATGCGAAAAATCGTCATAAATTGCACTGCAATATGAAACTATGCTGCTCCGCTAGCAACGAAATTAAGTTTCACAGATATCACACGCCCATAATTCTCATACGACCCAAGTAGAAAAATATCAGCTGGTGAAATAAAAAGGTATGAAAACCGTGGAAGTTCGTAGATAAATAATGTAAGCTAATTTATTAATAGTACGTGTTAAAATATTTAAATATATTATTTTGTAATTGTCACGATTTACATTTACAATGTGATCTAAATCTATGAAAAGAATTTAAAAATCTTAGAAATTAATTACTTGAATAAGTTAGATCTCAAACAATTTGTAAACCTTATAAATAATTAGAGTTATTTAATTTTTTTAAATTAATAAGTTAAAGTAATCATCTATAATAGACAATTAAGTAATAAGTGAGTGCTGAGCAAAAAATAAAATCCATAAGTATAGTAACTAAGTGTAGTGTTTGCAATCAATTTAAGTTGGTGTTGATATAATTAATAATTTATAAACAAAACTAAACAGACCAATTTTGCAACGTCATTTAGAATTATACAGTAATATGTCCCATAGTGCGCGTAATCAGTTACAATAATAACCCGGACTGTTTGAAACCGGACTAACAGAGCAACAAAATAAAATAGGTCTTTGTTGTGAAATTCGAGGAATGATAAACAAAGGTATTGCAGCATTTGATATTTTACCATAAATTTTCATTACATATGTTTGTACAAATTTAATTTTAAATATTTCTATATATTTAAAATTTATTAGATTAATGAGAAATTGATAATTGGGTTTCTAAAATTTTCTACGTTCAGCTCGTAATCCCATCTAATGATTGGAAAACTTTAAGTCGTTGGCTTGTTAAGCTGTTGTCAGGAAGATTTATAGCTGAAACTTTTTTTTGGCATCCTATCAGAATATTTGTTAGAAGTTTCTTTGAATAGCTTCATCCACTGTTGCTATTCCAAAATACCTATATGCATCTGGTTATAAAATATTATGCAATTTTTAATAATAATGAATTCAATCATTTCTCTCTTTTTTAAGAATATTTTCTTTTATACATATTATATATTATTTGAAATAACTTGTCAAGTAACATGAAGTATATATAAAAAAGTGGTAAAAGTACTTGTACAATAGAAACTGGGTAAATAATTCAAGTGCTAGGAACAGCTGTATACATCAATTATAATAATACTTGTCAAGTATTACGTACTACTTGAGAAGTAATTTTAGCAATATTGATAAATGCATTCCGCATTAGTCGATCTTTTATCTTTGTTTGACTTACTGGTTATTCTTCAGTATAAGTACACAAGGGGTTTTGGACGCTTGTATTAAAGTTTGTTTTCTTTTGATTTGTCCGAGTTTTGCTATAGTTAATTTCAATTTATCCCCTTTGCCCTTTGGACAATAATTTTCAAATATTTATTCGAAAAATATAGATAATATTTGATTACTGAAATAAATAGGACTGTAAAAGTAACATACATTGGTTTCATATTAACGTTTTAATAACTTTGGAGTTACATTCACATTAATTATAAAACACTGCTTTTATATTGGACATTTTATTACTGTTAATACGTATACCGACGTATCAATTTTTTTTACTTTATTTCTTAATACAGGTCGTAAGTTCGATACTTCTCTGGTTTTTATGTCCATCCAATATTTATGAACTTAATAATAACTTTCCCTATTTAGAAGCTATCATTATTAACTGAAAATAGTAATTTTGATATAACAAAAATCCGGAAATCGGAATATTGATATTGAATCCAACGTTCGTATTCATTTAAATATAGACTGAAAACAATTGAAATTACGTCTGCGTTTCAGTTCCATGGAACATCTCCATTGTGATCCGACTGAAGCATAAATGTTTCTGATTTGTTTGGCCATTAAAAAATTAATTTCCATTTATGGTGGGGGTGTGAATTGAATGCAGTCTGCGTCGCCCCTTTGTTTCCATTTCCAACGATACGAGTGACTCGACTGGGGGAGGATTTTACCCTCGGAGCGCAGAGGTTTAATTAATAAAAAAGAAAAAAACGAGAATACCAGATTTCCATACGCCGCGTTTCGTGGAAACATTGAAAACCCTATTAGCTTCATCTTTTTCCCGGTTTCATGTTTCATGCGCTGAAAGGATGGATGTATTATGTTACTAGGAAAACACGTATATAGTGCAGACGGTCCATGATTAAATGACGAATGGCAATTTTCGTGAAAACTTTTTGGAACCTACATATTTTAGAGGCTGTCGTTCACAAATATAATACCGAGAACTCGGATATTTTGGTGTTGTAAAAGAGTAAGGTAAATTATGGGGACTGTCCCTTTTCTTTCTTTCCTCGGAAAAGAACTTCTTTTATTCTATTATACATTTTTATAAATATATTTTTTAAATTCTACTACATTTTTTTGATATCCTATCACAACACGATACAAATAAAAATAAAGTAGTTTATAAAAAAAAACTATAATCAATATTTTAAAGTTAAACATGAATGGGCGGCGACCGGCACTTTTGATGTTTCCATGCACACTTCAAAGAAACGAAAGTTCCTAGTAATTACAAATAATATCATCATTTATACAAAAGAAAATTATTTTTAATGAATCACTTATATGAACATATAGAAATAAAGAAACAATAAAATCACATTACTAATTATTTCATTTAATTATATTTTTATTTACATAATAAACATACCTCATAACCATTGTCTTTCATACTAAATCTTTTATGAAAGTAAAAGATGTATTGAAGTATTAAAAAATTGTATATAATGTTTCGGTCCTTCATTTCGCAGCGTAAAATTACATTTCGTCTACATGAAAAAGTTTGATTTTTTTTAATTAATGCTGTCGAGATTAAATTTCAAATGTTCCAACTAAATTTTCCTTTTTGTTTTACGGGTAGCTGCGTTACATAATTAATAATTTATTAACAAAATATAATAAAATTCTTTTCAACAGTGATTACAGTATTTATAGCACCTAATAATAATGTAACCAAAATAATTTTTATTCTATTATAAAATATACTTCTTCAATTACAACATATAATCATTATAATCAATATTAGTTAGGTGCGTTTAAACTGATTTGCAAATATTTGGATAATGTCTAGACTATTGAGTTCTAAATACTAATTATAGAATAAAACAGAAAACAAAACATATTTTGTAGTTTTTGTAAAAAACTGAATCTATTAGAACAAAATGATTTTATATATTTATTCTTAGAGTTGCGGCTGTTTTCTTTGTATTGTATTACGTATGACATTTCGTTTATACCTGTGTCAATTTGGTCATTGTGTAATAAAGTTTACAAAGCGTAATAAAACTTACAACAAAATTCAATGAATTTGAAATGGGATGAGACGAGAATTGGTAGTTTACTAAATGCAGAAGTTTGATTTAAAAGTAAGTAATTTGTAAATGAAATTTAAATATTTATATTTTTTTGTTTAGCTGTTATTTCCTATTCATTAAAGTGTATATAAACATTTTACATAGTTTTTTTTATACATGACAATATTGTAATTAAATTAATTTAACACGCTTTCAAATAATCGACATGTTTTATAAACAGAAGAAATTAAATAATATTTTACAGTTTAGAAATAATTAATTATATATTTTAAGATTATTATTTTATGTGTAAAATATGTTTGTTTTCAATAGGAGATTTCGTATTATATAAATGATTTATTATAATTACAATTAGGAAAATTCATTCAATCTTTTCAAACATTTAAAGTTAAAATTATTTTACAAATATCAATAAAAATTATAACTGATTTACTCATAATATATTAACAATTAATTAAAAGAAATAAAGTAAGTAAAAATATTAGCTTATTATTCATTCGAAACACAATAAATGTACGGGTTCTTGTTTACATTGAAAAACAATTTAATTTGACTCATTTACAAAAATAGCATTTAATTCGTCTGCTTGAAATAGCACTAACATATATAAATCAAACTATTCGTATGTTTGTTTAATAAAAAATTGTGGTAGATTTAAATTTGAAAAGTAACCATTTCTATTTTGGTAACTAAAATTCCGTAAATATCAGTTCAATAATTTATCGGAATTGATAACAGAGAAATATTTACATTGATTACGTTTCGGATGCGCGCAATGAGTCTTTTGCTCCGGACTACTCTGATAAATAAATGATTCGTGAGATTGATCAATGAAGATTCCGAAATTAGAGTAATTAGATTGGATCATTTTGAAATAATGCATAGATCCCGTGCGTGTGTTGGAGTTAGTCCAAAAATAATTTGCGCGCTTTTGTTTTTTTTTTGTGAAAAACTAATAGAATAAAGAAAATGTAATGTTCAAGGATGTGTTTGTTGCACTTACAATTAACGAGATCGAGGTTTTCGTATGCGGGCACTCACTATGTTATGCACTAGTTCTTGTAGATTTGTTGGTAGAGTGTAAAGTAAATATTTCCTCGTGGATTGTGAAGTTTTTGGTCCTTGGCAAGGAGCTGGGCAAGGAATGCGAGCGCACGCGAAACTCACTCACAACTGGCTATGCTCACTGTACGTTCGGTCGGATGGATCTTTCCAACAACCTGTAGATTATGAGGCATGCACACACCGAACAGCCTTGCGCCTTGCTGACTCAACGTCCAACCAACAGCAGCAACGGGAAAAATAATACAGACAGACGACGCGGTCCAAGAAGAAGAAGAAAAAAGGATACGTTCTCTTCTCTTCTTCTCCACTCTTCACGCTCGATCGGACCCACAGAGATATATTCCTTTCGACCTTTGATTGCATCACATCGAAAACCACTCCAAAATGTGTTATAAACCTCGAATAGCTATATTCTAATCCTGAGCCCACCGCGAATTATCATCAGCCTACACATGTGATAAGGTATGAAAATAACAACAAAACGCTCAAAAAGAGACACATGTACTTTGTATACAGTAGATACGTCAACTCGGTGAATGTATACACTTACTAGTCATAATTATGTTAAGTAAATATATTCTTTGCCCAGTGAATGCATTTACCAATCACATTTTATAAAAATATTCACAAAATAAAGTGTACATCGAAATGATAATCATTTGTCTTGTAAATACATACATTTCACTTAATATTTACTAAAAGTACACAAAATACATTTCATTGAAATTGGTATTAAGTTTAATTTATTGGAACAAATTATTACATTTTTCTAGCTTCTTGAATAATGTTGAAAAATATTTTGAATGTAATTATGTTACTTTTTCAAATTTTCTGCTAAAACTAAAAAATGTTCACTATTAAAATCTTGGATATTTTATCCATAATTATTATTATTTACTAAAAACCAGTTTAATATTTCTAATTTATAGTTTTATTCATATTTTGGAGTAAAAATTGTTTCGTAATTTGGCAAAATAGTAAACTATCTTTACTTATACTTAAATCTTCGTTAAATGCATATATGTTTTACCATATTTTTTGGATAAAATAAAGGACAAAATATTATATTTATTTAAGTAATAGTTTAAATATTGTAAAGTTTTCGGCATTCTGTTAAATAATTCTAAGATACAGTATATTCCGCTTAATTGAGACACCGGTTAATCGGGACAGTCGCTAATTGGGGACAAATCCTAAAGAACTTCGGTTAATTGGGCAAGTTAATTTAGACAAAATGTACTAGTTTCGTTGTGTCCTAATTAAGCGGAATCGACTGTACTATTAAAAATTATTTCACAAAGTACAGGAAAAAATTAGATCATTTTAGCAAAAAAATATTCAAATCTAAAAGTACAGAGCAGTGAAATAAAGGACGTATGATCACTGCATTTATTCAGCATGCTAATTTTATGTTAATCGAATCCGTTCTCCCATTATTATTATTATGAAAATTCGCAATCGCTCTGCTTCATCTCGCATTACATAATTAAACGTGGCCTACGCTAAATTAGCGCGTCTGTTCTCCTTCTTCCATATTATTTTTCCTTTCTTATGCGCTCCTACGCTGATGATCTCTCGCGTTACATAACGACCAGAAGTGTAATTTTGCGCCGTGAGTTTGCTGTCATTAAATTCAATTTATAACGTAAACACCTCGAGTGATTTATATGCAAGTACATGCTTGAAGCGGAAAGACCTCAGGGTTCTTTGCCTTACGTTGGTGTCTCCAGATGTAAACAATAACATTCTTCACGTAAATCTCCTAATCAACATTGCGTCTCAGTGCGTCAAATATGAAAGGAAACGTTCTTTGTTTTTATCTTTATTAAAATACACAACTTCAGTTAATTAACTAAAGTATATAAATAATTTATTTGTTACTTAGTTAATTAATTATTTTCTTGGTGGAACCAGATGGAAATAAGTTAATATGCGTTTTTGCACATCAAATATGGGTTAAGAAACAATTTTTTTTTTAATTTAAATGTACAACTTCAGTAAATTTAATTTAAGCTAAAGAAAGTAATTAATTGATCGGATATTTCACTAATTAATTATTTTAACTGATCTCTAATTATATAATCTCACGATTTCCGATCTTAACATAAATCTCTTAAGCAAAATTGCCTTTGAATATCGAAACGTGTCTATTATTATTTTTATAAATAACAATAAGAAATTAATGAACCTGAAATTAATTATCTAATTGATGCCTTGAGAGAAAAGATAAAAAGATTTATTACAATCTTTATTAAAATATATAACTGAAGTAAATTAGCTAAAATTAGAAAATAATTGATCTGACATTTCGCAAATAATTAACAACGTATTTCCTATATCGTTATATAACTAAAACGTAGCGAATTAATAAGGAAACGCTAATATTTAATATAATTGCAAATCTTTATATGTAAAATTTCATTTCGTTATATACAAACTCATAAACATCAAGAAAGAAATGCAATAAAAATACATCAATTAGATTTAAAAAGAGATTTTTTTTGAATAATGGGTTGGTCAATCTTGTTTTTAGTGTCTATAAATAGAATATAAACAAGGACATTAGCTTAGAAATAATGTATTCTATCTGCCTAAGGCATAATCTTATTATAAATATAATAAAACGTAAAACGTTTTTTTGTATTATCTTTATTTAGTAAGAGTTTTAAACCTAATCGACCTTGAGATAATCATCTGTATTGCGTTTAAAATACATTAAAACTTTTAACAAAATGTCTCAATTCAACTATACTTTAATTATAATCGTTCAGTTTTTATAAAAAAATTCATTAAAACATAATTTTTTGCATAATCATATCTACAAAACATATATCACAATTAATAACAAATAAATGTTTTTGTAATTTAAATAAATGATAATATTATTTGTCTTAATCAAATCTAACTGGAGATTAGTTAGTGATTATATCACTTAGTGAAAAAATCGACATTTGTGGTAATAGCTATTACACAAAATTGTGATTTAAATTAGTAAAATTTTAGAAAATTCATATTATAAATTTGAGACAGAAATTGTTTTATTATTATATAAATTTTCATTATTTCAAAAATAGAAAAAATTTATTTTTATGGTCAATAACTTTTTGGTCCAAATTGGGGCCAATAAAGTAAAATAATAAAAAAAAAACATATTATGATGAAGCATTTCTAAATAATTCTGAGTCTACCAATATTCAATTCAACGTAATATAAATAAATAAAATTTGAAATATACAAAATAAACTGATAAATTTGAAAAGCAAGAGAAAGTGATAACAATTTTAGATTCAATGTTAAGATTACTGAAAATGTTGATAAAGATTTGAAAATGTTTAAGCTTATAATCAGGAAATTGTATAAAAAAAGAAGAAAGAGTTCTAATAGCAACTTTTCTACTAGAGGATAATGCGACTAATGATCCGAAGACGAGTGAAACATTCAAAGTATACATATTTAGGCATTCATGGTGATCATTGTACACGTTTCAAATGTCTATACAATTTAAATATTTCCTAGTAAAGTTTAGATTATTTTTGAAAATTTTAATTACTTCTAGGAAATATTACTTAATATTGAGTTTTCTATTAGAAATAACAATTTTAATTGATTATTTTTCATAAGCATCAAAGTCATCATTAGTTATTTTGTAATAAAATATGAAAAAAATAGACATTTTTATTATAATGTTCCCATTTCAAATATTTGTAATTGACTAAAATAAATAAATTATCAAATATATTTTTTGTTTATATTTATATGATCGCGTTTCTCACTTTCTCAAGTCAAGTGTCTTTTAATACGGTTTATTTTTATATTTATTTAGTTACTCGATTAATCCGGTTTTAAACAGTCCAGGATATTGACGGAACCGGATTATGAAAGATATTGATTTATATGTAAGTTACAATTATAAAGTTTGCAACAATCATAAGTCTATGTGCTATTACTTAGAGTATGTCATACGTTTATATCGGTCGGTGTATTAACAGGCTACATTTTACTGCCAAAACGTTTTAAAAATAATGTACAAACAAAGATTCATTAAGATTTTCACATCTCGAAACTTTGTACCTAAAGCGACGACGACTAAACTATTCATTTAAACCACAGAATTAGTATTCACGTTGCACAGTTTCCATGTACTCGAAAATGTGTCATCGTTAATCACCAGGTGTCACCTTTAATAAATGGATAACAAGCTGTTTTGAAACTGTATATCTACACAATAATATATAAATAATAATATTTTAGTAATTTCATTGATTATTAAAAAAAAATCAAATATAAATGAATGTGTTGGATGATATTTGATATTTCATGATTTATTAAAGTTAAGCAATGTTTGTTGAGGATAATATTTGGATAGTAGTGTAGTACTGTAGTACAAATTTTATCACTTCAAAATGAGCAAGATTTTAAGAGGTTTTGTTTTTAAGATTTTAAGTATTTTTAAATAATATATAATAAAATAATACGAATGCGAATTTTAAAGCTCAATTTTTTCATTTTCCTTTCTAATTTATTTCGAACATGCAAGAGAGTAGATTATTTTTTACACAAAAAAATATAAAATTTTAAAATATTTCGTGATGAGTATTGACTTATTCATCAAGCATAGAAGCTCATTATATGATGAATTGCGGAGTGAATTGTTTGCTTTGAATTTCTGCAACGTTGATTTTCAGCAAAGAGACATTATTTAATTGAATAATGAATTCACGAGTGCTTCATAATTGCAGAATACTACTATAAAATATAACAGTATAAATAATGAATTTATATTTATATTTTTTAAACCACAAAAGTGGTTTTGCTAAAGGAAATAACCGCAAAGAAATATTTTATCAGTGAATGAAGGAATTAGATAAAGTCTACCCAAAATTCTTTATCCGGAAGAAAGTTTGCTAAACAATGTTTATATAAGATATTATAGTTTCTGTTTGTTTTTCAGCTGACGCTGAATATTCCTAGGATGTCTGTAGATTTTAACATAACTAAGCCACTTAGATCTACAAAGTGCACGACTTACATAACGTGAAACAATGCTAATACCATATTAATGATAATAAACATAATTATATAATCGCGAGCGGAAAGACTACGGTCAATAATGTACTTAATCATTTTGTATAAAAATACATTTTACTTCATGTATTTAATTGATTTTTTTATCATTGTTGATAAATTTGTTATTAACTATAAATTAATGTAAAAAAAATGTTGTTGCAAAAATGGAAAAACGCAATAAGCTTAATAAATTTCAAGGTGGAAGGGAAAAATGATTAGATAAAATGAAAATCCGCATGTTTTCCACAAAATAGAAGAAGAATTAGATAACGTCAACCCAACTCTTTTTGGCTGAAGAGGCTTGACTGGGATTTAGATAAACGGGTGAAATTTCGTCTATCTGATCCATTATTATTTCGTTTTAATTAGAAATGTTATACTGTTGAAAAAAAATC